AAATCAAATTGATTTCATTGATTTTGACTCATGTAAACTTGTTACCATGCCACCATGTTACAATACCACAGCAAAAACTACTAGCCTAGCATATGCAACATTTAACCAAATGTTGTTCAAGACAAGTTAAATAAAATAAGAACAAATAAACAGATTACAAGCAATAGCACAAATAAGTACAATAGAACATCAATGCAAATGAAATAAACAGTGCTTAAGGTTTTTCAGGTAGGTCTAACAGTAGTATTCAAGTATGAAATACTACAGAAATTGAATTTATCAAACGAAAAATAACACTGCGTAGTATTCGCTGTATAAATGAAATAGAAAATAATCTTACAAAAGTTATTCAAATACTTTAATTTTAAAGCTACAAAGGTTGTACAGCCATAAGCTGGGAGTCATTTTCTCTTTCTTTTTTGTTGTTGTTGTTTGGCATGAAAATTAGACAGCAGCATAAATATTAGGTTCTTGTCACTTTAAGACTGAATTCATGAATCTAATATAGTGAGACATCCATAACCGACTTAAGACATAGACCGACTGTGTTATATGCCATAAGATGCGAAAGAGACCTTAATTCAGTATTCGCGCGCTGTCGGAGAGGATGCTTTGGGTTTGCGCACAGAAAACCTTTATCAAACAGTGCGCAAGTAACATGTTGAGTTCTCTTTCGCATGTCCTTGCGCTTGAATGATTCAAAATTGCTTGAATATTTCAATTGGGAAGATTTAAAATGCATGCAAATGATAAACTTTCGTTCCCAGTGACAATTAATTCAATTCGACTGCACGCTGTGCCCCCGAGGCCATCAGGTTGTCCTTATTTCCGAGCCCTGATTTTAGATTTTTTTCCTGATAGTTCAGGTTTCTTGCTCCAAAACAGTCGTAATTCAGCCTTACATCACAATTTTTGGTTTCAGTAACATGCAGTGACGAACTGTGTACTAATACACTAAATTGGATCAATTTCGATTCCATTTTTGACTTTAAATAGAAGCTCACTGTGATTATCTCCTAACTCATTTTTTACCATTCACTAACAGGTCACTAAACCCCTCTTAGAATTAGCAATGTGACGGAGCGAGACCCTGTTCCGAAGGCCAATCTCTCCATCTTTTCTGATGACTAAGTACACTCAAAGGAAGCCTTGTGACTGTGAATGAAACCATGTTACTGCTCATTTAATCATTTCCATAAAATGGGCATAGGGGGTCAAACCTGGTTTGTTTTTAAGGTTTTTAATAGTGTTGTATAATTGAAGTACACCCCGGATAGGGGAGGAGAGGAAGATAAAGCGGCCCCATTTCATAATCAATTATTAACAACATATAATCACTCACAGTCTAGTGGCTACAACTGAAGACAGTTTGAAACTCATCACAAAAGCTTAAAGTAGTCAATCAGAAACCCACTGATGTAAACCACTGAACAAAATGATGCACCACACGTTCTACGTTTGCATGCAACCAAATAACCCGTTTGTAATCGGATTGACGACTCGATCGGACTCAAGCCTTCATGTAAACACCTTAATCGATCCAATTGAGCTCGATCTGAATGAAATTTCGGGTGTGAAGGGTTGGGTGTTTCCTATTCTGATCCAATCGATAGGACATGTAAACACTTGATCGGATCGAAAATGCGATCATGTTGTGCATGTGCATGTAGCCAGTGTGTGATAAATTGTCTTTTTATGACACTAAACTGTATGACGTAATCAAATACAGTGGCCCTAAAAAGGATTTGAACACTTACACCACAATTACAATGCCACAATATAACAAAATATCAAAATACAATTATTTTAAAGAAATAGAGCTCAAATATACTTTTTAATCTGTAAATTTAGGCTTTTAAAATATGAAGCAATTAAAAAAAATGATTGAAAATAATTGAAAAGTGACTTTTTGAGAAAAGCTGTAGCATAATTTGTTTGCAGATGCCGCTTGGTTTGATATTTTGTATCTAATGCAGTGAAATTCTGATATTTTCAAGTGTGGCTTAAGAGTCCAAATTTTGGGCCCAATGTTTATTATATTTTTATTTGGATAAACATTAAAATAATAACTAACAATGATGGCCAGATGTTTAATGAACCAAAAGTATTAGTTGGGTGACTTAAAAAACATAACAACTTTATTTGAACATGTAGGCTAGTACATAACATGCTTTGACAAAAATAAGAAAGTTTTATAAAATGATTATCCTTTCAGCCTCAACCTCACATAATTCGTTTTTATGAAAAGGATGTTAAAATTATAAATGTGTATTGTATCCGCTCCATAAACAATTCTACATAGGCTTCCTTATTATCCAAATTTTTAGAATGCATATTAGCTTAGTTTCCGTTAAAATGTACATTGAAAAAATCCGATTTTCACATTGATCTGAACAAAAACAGCAGACAGGCTGAATAAAAATGATGTAAATCCTCTCTCTGACAGTAGGTGGCGCTTATGGAACAGCAGAAATAGAGCTGTTTCCCCGGTAACCTTTGTAAACAACGCTTATAAACGCTAGTTATTAATTCGGCATTACACGGAGGGAAGATGAAAAGCAAATGCCATCGAAACTTTTCTGAAGTCAATCGTTTCCCAATTTGAGATTCATATAATTCATTCAATCATAAATTCTTGCATATATTTTCTCCAAGCACTCTGCCTTCCAAATGTGTTCGAACAGCCACAAAATGAAAATAACAGGTGTAAACAGGAAAACTGATTCTTGTGATCAGAATGACCAAAACGTGTCTTAATACCAGGTGTAAACAGGTCCGAAATGTCTCTTTTTGTTCTACACAAAATAAGAAAGAAAGAAAGAAACATGAGTTTGCTAATGAGGGGTTAGTAAATGAGAATCAACAGCGTCTCCACAATGTATGGTGGTGGCAAATATAAATCTGAAGACAAATATTTCTCTAAAGAGATCTCATCTGCTCTAATTAAAACAAGCGTGTATCAAGAGCAATAATGCTGATTGTTATCTGCACTCTGCAGTACAGCTTGGCGCTTTGTGCCAGAAGCATTATGAAGGAGCTGTAAGCTCTCCGTGTATTTATGCGGCATTGCTATCAATACCAGCCTCCTACACACTGCTTCTATGTTGCTGCTGCTGGTCCACACACTCCCATTTGCCTCTGTGTAAATCCTGCTGTCTCTTTGCATATACCTGAGCAGCAAATGCAAATCTCAGCCACTGGCCATAGCCTTCCCACTCTGTTCACTCAATGCATTCTGTCTTCATAATCACACTCATTTCAAGCACTCCGTCGTCGGGTGTGTGGCCAAAGACGTGGTCTAGAGCAGCTGTTACGGTCGGAACCTTGTGGTTTGAAATCTGCCTCACCTTACGTTACTTTAAGGCTAAATTAAAGGCATGTTAGGCTATACTTGCTTTATCTCTAATTGAAAGTGCTCTATATCAATTTGGGCAATCAATCGACCAGTTTATTGGCTGTAATTTGCTGGATTTTGAGTGAATATTGTGTAAAATAAGTGGTCTTTTCATTTCAGAAATTCCTTACACAGAACAAACTACATAAATTAAATGATCCACATTGTGTTGACCATTGGCCACCCTGATCTCTAGACAGTTCTATGGTGGTCCATAAAATAAATAGAAATTTTAAATGAAAACATGAAATGAAAGGGAATTAATGACAACAAAATTATTTTTTAAATAAAATGATTTTTTTCATTCAAATACAATTAGTTTGAATAAAGAATAAAATAGATGTTACATTAAATAAAATGACATTTTAAATATAATCTAAATGTTATATAATTTACAGTGAATTCAAATAAAACATTTTTTTAAACTAAATTAAAATAAAAATGTTATTAAATTTTATTTTGATTTTTTTTTTTATTGAATTAAATTAAAATGAAAAAATGTATTCTATTTTTTTTTATTCAAATTAAATTACATTCAGGGCTCCAGATATGTTACATTTTATATTTTATCACATTAAAAATAACATTTAATGTTACATTTTTAAATAATTTCCATGCAAATACCCATGAAACTGTGTTGACTGTTTGTTACTGTTTGTTTTTGTTCTGAAAAGTTATATAAAAATAAAGTTTAAAAAAAAGTGCTCGAATTTCACTCTAAATAGGTTGTACGAACCCTGAAATGACTATTTCTGCCACAATACCATGGTTACAGTTAGCGTTACTACTACATTAAATCCATGGTAAATGTTGGTGATTTGTGGACCGAAAAGCCTTTCATAACTCATACGTTCATGGTACAATGTTTCTCCTGGTTTCCAGGTCAACGCTCTTTGACCTGATATGGTTAATAACAGAAAATTCTGCACTGAATTTGAATGTTTCTCATTAGATCTTGCAGTAATGTTATTAATACTGCTGTGAATCCAAACACTTTCTCACTGGATCACCCAGCGCTGTGTAGTAACGGTGTCATGTGATCCAGATCGGTCCACGAGTAAAACTGTTGTGAGCTCACGATGCGCGATGCGCTTATTAAATAATAAACAAGTATGCAAATAATAAAACTGGTACAGGCACTTTAAGTCTCAATGCTCAGCGGCGCTCAATGATTTCTCAAATACCAGTAATTTCTCAAACACTTGATTTTCAGAGTGAAACCTGTGTGTCATGCTGTTCTAGATATCCGTATCGGCCATTGCAAAACCCGGTCGACCACCACTCTGGATGCAAGTACTGTGCATTTTCTCGGAATATGGCTTAAACGCAACAGCTTTACCAATCCTGGGGTGTGCCTTTGATATTTTGATGATGTTGTCGATGTTATTATCCATTTTGTTGTGGTCAACTAATGGTTTCGTCTCTTCAGTTTCCTTTCCAAAGTGAAAAGAAGAGAGGAAAGTGCTATTGATTTTTATTGTATTCATTGATTGTCCCAAATGATATTTACTCATTTTCTCTCTCTCCCTCTCTCTGCGAGTGTGTGCTTAACCCCACCTTTTCAAAGCCCTTAGTCACTGTGTTTCGTGTTGGTCTCTCTTCACAGAGAAAGACTACAACAGCCTTTGTGAGAGGCAACCAATCGGCTGCTTTCTATTCCGTCAGTTCTGTGATACCAGGCCGGAGTTGAGGCGCTGTGTCAAATTCTTGGACGCTGTGGTGAGAAGCAGAACGCTAATTATTCTTCACTTCAAAGACAAAACGTGTTTGTTTCTTCCCCTTTCATCTGCAAACCAACCTGACTTACTTACAGTGAAATGTACAGTTTTGGAATAACTTTTGTCCCTATCGTTCCCTTACCCTGACCCATAATATACTGTGAGGTCAGTGTGGTGTTTAGGTACATCTATGTAGGATTTTAAAACTTGCTACGATTGCCTTTGGTAAAAGCTACAACTATGGAAAGAGCCTTTAAGGTCCGTTCACACCGAGGATCATAACTATAAAGTTTTAATAATCACTCTATAAGAATGAGGAAGTCCACACCCCAGCAATACAATAACGACACAGAGGAACAATATCATTGGAATCACTCTCAGAACTATGTTTTTCCACATAATGGAAGATAAAAACATTTATCAATATGAGTAATTTGCACTAAAAATAGACCTGCCCGAAAATTCACAAAATCTTTTGTAAACTTTAGATTTGATAGTTAAAATGTTGTATGTTAATGAATTCCAATAATTCGTGAATACGGCGCACGTTCACGCTTATTTACAATTAGCATAATTTCTGGCCATGAATTACAACTACATTCTTTTTTTGTACTGTAATGTTGTGGGATATTTGGACTCCTTTCCCAGGTTTGGCTCCAGTATATTGCAACAAAATGCAAAAGAGACTAATTGGCCATATTCCGAAAAAAATGATTCAATTAAAATGCAAGTTTGCTGACAAATACTACTTGTGCTAGATTAATAAAAAGGAAAAAAAGACATTTTTTCAGTCATTTTTTATAATGAAATGTATTGTCACTATTAGTTTACTAATTAATTTTGTTATTATAGAATAGCTAAAAGATTACATACTACATGTTTTAAACTAATGCTAACATACAAGACTTTAGTGTTACTAAAAATTATGAACTTTCAAAAATGAGAGACCAATGAAATGAATACCTTATTAAGTTGTAGTTAGTGTATGCTTTTCCCTGTGAGCATTTTGTTTTTGCATAGTAAAATAAAAACTGTAGCTGTATTTTGCCTGTATCTTGCCATTAATTATAGTCATTCAACATTACAATATAATTGACAGCTATCAATTTCAACATTTATTAGTCTTTAAATATAACAACTTTTAAATTAAGTGAACTTAAATCAATCTTCACATAAAACCCATTAATATCAATCCTGTACATTGAGTGATTTTCTCTTTTTCTTTTGTTCTTTGATTAACATTAATGACAGACATCGGCAGGTTTTTTAGGCTGGTGTCACTTTTAGACCTGACGCATGTGACGCAGATCCCATTTTCTCGCAAATCTTTACGTCATTTAACTCGTTTAATACCGTGCTTGGGAGGATACTCAACAAAATGGGCATTTTGGTAAAATTTTGTGGGGGGTGCTGTCTGAAGCGGTTTTCTGTGTGCACTAGTCGTGTGTGTCGTTGTGCTTGAATGGTGTAAAAGCATTTGCATGAATAAGACCGTGGTCATATAATGTTACGCTAGCCAAAGGAGGACAGGAAAAAAACGGATGCTGCGTTATTTTTAACGCGTTAAACTGAAAAAAATGATCGCATGCGTTAACACGTTAATTTTGCCGTACCGGACTTTTAATATAATTACAGCATGTGCATACAATAAACAGAATGTTATCGACCATTGGTGTGAACGCTAATATAATATTGTTATAGTTCTTGTTATGGGTGTGATATGTTTCAATTGTATATTTATATTTAATATTAAAAATGCATTTTTAATATTAATTTAAAATAAATGTAATTTAAATATAATTTATTATACATTTTTCACACTTTTTCACTAAATACTTTTGTAATTTTGACAAAACTGTAAGACAGTGGCAGTTAATAAATTTACCAAGCTATCAAAATTAAAAAGTTGACAAGAATTTACAACCAAATTTCACAGAAAACCAAATATTAAAGTTTGCATAGCATTAAAAGCATTTACATAGTCAGCAAATGTACGGTATAGTGCTGGCCCAATAAAGAAAGTGAAATTTCCTTCAAGTGTACTCTTACACTGACCATCATCTTTGTGGAGTTACTGCTCATGTATAGCTTTTCAGTTCCATCAATTATGAGCTTCCTTTTCTGTTAGCATATATCGCGTCTTTTGCACGCTCAAGTTCGTTATTTCAAATGTAGGCGCGCGGTATGCGCACTCATAATGGAAGCGACGCGCTCGTTTTTTCCATGAGCGTACGTCCGCCCCGCATCGAGATAAAAACATCTCAACTTTTCAGAATGCCACAAGCGCACCATAAGCGCACAGTAGGTCACGTGACAAGAACCAAGCGGAGCGCAACCGCCATAGCGCTTTGGAAAAAGGAGAATGCGACGCGCCCAGCGTTTTCTACGCGTTTTAGGCGCTATATGTGAATCCGGCCTTATAAGGCAGCTACTGTACCTGTAGACAGTAAATAGCATGGTAGCACATAAGAATTTGGAACAGAGCCTATGTCTTTTGAATCAAAGTGATTGTAGATTAATTTCACTACTAATACAGTTCATAAAAACATCTTCATAGCCTGCCTCTTTTCCTCCACCCCTTTCCTGAACAGGAATGCAGGGGTCACTTGCACCACTGCCTTTAACCCGAGTGAATGCCCACCAGCAAGTTTAGCCTGAATTTATTTTCCACACCCATAACTTAGATGTTATAGAAGGAGCAAGCAGACTTGCGACTTAAGATTTAAGATCCGTTATTATAAAACTGGGCTTGGAGATACAATTACATTGAAACAGAGAGTACCAGACCTTCCACTAAGCATTTAAAACTACTGATTTGAGATCAGTTCTGCCATCCAAAATCCTGCGTTATTGGGCAAATCTTCTCTTCGTAAGTATTTTGCTGTGACATGCTGTTTTAGATATGGAATGCAGACTATTATTAAGCTTCAACATAAACATCAGAACATATGGTCTTGCGTGTACATGCGCACGCCCACATGAAAAACTTGCTAGTGTTTGCTCCACTTTTAAAGACCTTGATACTGCATGTTCAGTAGAGAAACTGTTATTTTGTTAATAAACATACCGGTAAATCTTTTCTGAAGCAAATGTGAGCGTTGCATTTTCGTGTAAAACTCGCTGCTAGGGTGTTGTGGGTGTTTGCCAGCGCATTGGTATGATTGCTACAGTGGTTGCTTGCTGGTCCAAATCCAAAAATGGTCCCCTTCTTCAATATTTGCATGTTTCTCAGAGACTGAGGCCTCAATAAGTTGCATGTAGGAAATTATCAAGACAAGTAAATGATTGGGATGCATTTTAGTAAAATGGAAAGGCCTTCAGTGTTTAAGATCAGAAAGTAAGGCATTGTAAAAATGTCCCCTCATATACAGAAGATTACGCTGCAATGTAATCTTTATGATATAGTACTCTGTTTGTCATGATGATTTTGGATAAAATCCTCAGAAATAACTGTATTTTACAGCTTTTCTTAGGTTTACAAATTTAAAATGTACATTATTGGCTCTTTTTGTTGTTGTTTTCCGTTTTGTTTTGTCTTTGTTTTTTATTGTTGTTTTTTTTTGGGGGGGGGGGTTGTTTTGTGTTGTGTTTTGTCTTGGGTTTTATTTTGTTTTGTTTGGGGTTTTGTGTTGTGTTTTGTCTTTTGGTTTTATTGTGTTTTTTGTTTTGTTTGGGGTTTTGTTTTGTCTTGGGTTTTATTTAGTTAGTTGCTTTGTTTTGGATTTTGTTTGGGGTTTTTTTGTCGAGTTTTGTCTTGGGTTTTGTTTTATGCTTTGTTTTGTTTTTAAATCCATGCCTCTGTAAATTAAAAAGTGAAACGGAACTGAAATTGAACCTGTATTGAGTGATGATAATGCAAAATCATAAGTGTATAAATAATGAAGAATGTAGATATAAAACAATATGACATGTTATATGCTAGTTACTTGTTATATGTTATATGCTAATGTTTCTCCATAATTTCAGGTGGAGTATGAAGTAGCGCCAGATGAGAAGAGGAAGGAATGTGGACAGGAACTTCTAGACACGTACCTCAACCCAAAGGTATCGAGAAGATTAGCACAGGGAACACCTAAATCAGTCTCTTATATTAGTGTGTGCTCCAAATATATTAATTTAATGTATGGAGTTTATCATGATTTCAATGTGTGTGTTTTTTTTTTTTTGTTGATTTTATTGACAAGTTTCGCAGTGAATTTTCCCTTTGTTTATTGTATAATTCATGAGCATGTATGCGTCTATTAGTGCTAAGGGATAGTTTCACGCACTGATTGTTCCATTTGCAGTCAGAGGACTACATCCCTGAGGTAACAGAGGAGATGGTGACTAAGTGTGCAGAACGCTTGCAACAGGAGGCATGTAAAGAGCTCTTCATGGAGTGTACCAAGTGAGTCTTTTAGACAGGAAACACACATATTATCCCATTAGACAGCACTGGTGGTAGATGCAACTACACTGACACTGTCTGACAAACACAAGGCATCTGAGCAACACATTTCTGAGGGAAATGAAATCCTGCGCAATTTCATGCGAATTAATTCAAGTGTATCTTGGCCGATTTTCAACCTGTTTTGTATCGTTACAATGTCGGTAGTATATGTAATTGAACAATGTTTACTCGTTCTCTGTTAACCTGGACCTGGAAATTCATGTTTATTTGTCTTCAGAAGTCCACCGGATTACGTGCTTTGCTTTATCCAGCAGACTTTTGAAAGCTCCAGGGCTTTTACGAAAACTAAAGATTACTTTACTAAAGATTTACTTTAGATACTTCCGCATTTCTTTATCCCTGTCCACAGACAGCTGGATCGACAGAGGAGTATTAACAGAACAGTTATTTCAATAAAATTGTTGTGTACCATGTCTACTCTTTAAACAGCTTTATGGTAATAAAAATGGCAACAGCTTTCTTACCTGTACGCAACAGCGTTTTGCTTCAGGGTTTTGGCCGGAACTGACAGAACAGCTGTTTCTTTTAGTATTCCCCCTCCGTGTTCGTGGTCATCCAGTTTGAAATGTTGACTACAAACACTGAGGTTTTTTCCGATTTTCCGCCACGGCCTTCCCTCCGTATTTACGATTCTTTGCAGCCTTCATCCACTTCCTACAACTCGCTGGATCCTTCACTGGAAACCTAAAATAACCCTCTACTGCTAAATGTTTACTCTTTGAATTCTTGCACGCTGGAACAATACAAGTTGACAACATTATGATTAAAAGTTTGCTAAGAGGTATTTCCTACTAAAGCAAGGGAGTATTTGACTCTGGTAAGCGTATCCATAGCACGCCCAGAGCATTATGGGTGTTGAAGTTTTCCTACCTATTTGGTAAAAGTGAAGACGAGCCTTTTTTCAAGTTTTATTGAAAGTCCATTTTGCCAGCGGGAATGTACCCCTTTAATGAAATCAGGATGCGCGAGTGAGAGCGTGTTTTTTCACTGTGCAGTAACTCTTTCTCTCCTCAATGTTCTCTTGTAGACTGATCCATGACTACCTGAGCGTGGCCCCCTTCGCAGACTACCTCGATAGTATGTACTACAGTCGCTTCTTACAGTGGAAATGGCTTGAGAGGTATAAAAACGGCACGTTTTGAACTTTTCGGTTTTGTTTATAATGTGTGAACTCAGTAATTTTCTGTAGTTCTGATGTTAAATGTGAGAAATTATATATAGCTAAGAAGTTTTTCTTCACCGCCAAGTAGAGTCTAATTATTCCTTTGGGTGCCATGATTTATTTATGAAGCTAAGCTTATAGAAACCAGATGTGAACTCTGAACTTGCTATTTATTTACTTTTAGTCATAAAAATGTCCTCTGACTGAAAGTCTAAGTCAGGCCTGGACAGTTCCCATCAAGACATTTTACAGAGAAGAATATGATATGCCAGAACAAATACTTTCACTGTCATGTACACTTTAAGAGGCCTGGTACACTAGCCATCTATTGAATACGAAAACCCCCTTAATTAGATTAATGCCGTGCGTTTTAACATTGTCTCTTGAGATATAAGCTTCTTGTAAAGGCAACAGGACTTTAAAAGTATGTTATAATTAAATAAGACTGGGTCATGTTCGTTCTTCTGAAATGTAACTTTTGTTTATTATTCTCTTCCTTTCCCTGACAGACAGCCAATCACAAAAAACACATTCCGTCAGTATAGGGTTTTGGGAAAGGGAGGCTTTGGTGAGGTGAGTCTGAAATTTTGCTCTGTTTATTGCAGAAACATATCAGGGTGTTATTAGTTATTATCTGGAATGCCACTAAATCAAACGCTATCTGTCCATTCCAAGGTTCATAAGGCTAATATGCTATTTTTGTTACACTATCAGACATAAATCCTTCAGATTATCATACATACTGCCAGTCAATGTTGGCAGATATAGAGAAAGCAAGTCTCCAATTCTAATTTCCCTACCAGATATCTAATCACATCGAGTCTTTTTATTGCCCTCCACTGCCCTGTGGAAGGTTCTTTTGGATAAGTCATATTTGACTATTTTTTTGCATTGTAAAATTAGTTTTATTTATTGAAATATTTTTCAACATGGTAGTAAATGTTGTATTGACCTTTTTTTTTTTATATGGTACTTTTTTATACTTATTATAGTATTGAGAATTATCATTTAAAATATTGAGAATTGCTACAAAAACTTTTAGAAAGTTAACATTTTAAGGGAAAACATCTGCTTAAATTACCTTGTTAAAGCCTTACATATGAAATAATAGTAAAACAAATATATATATATATACAGTTTATTGAATCTTTAGACAAAATATAAATAAAAAAAGTTTAAATATGTAATTTTTGTTAGTATCTTATTTGATACCTTAGGCTTTTATGGCTCATATAGTATATGATATAGGAGAATTTGGAGCTCATACTCGAGTAGAAAAAAAAACACCTACATTTTATTCAGAGGCCCAAACTGAGCAAAAATATGCAATTTCGAGCTATTGCTGATATTTATATGGGCAAAAAGTAAGTCTTTATAACAATATAGCAGACTGCTTAAATAAAATGCATATAAATATCAGTTGTCACTCTATATCTTTTTTAAAAAGATGATATTTAAATACTTATTTTCATGATCAAAGCTCTGTAGTTTTAATGGTTCCTCAGAAGCCTGATGTATCATATTTTAACATGATTTAAAAAAAAAAATTTATTATGAGGTAAACCGAAGTTGCTTCAGTCTAATAAGTGTTAATCTTGAAATATTACTAACGATGGAAAAGTTGTTCTTCTGTTTACTTTGTAAAAATCCGTAAAAATTTCTCAGCAAAAAAACACGTGAACCACGACATGAAGGGGGCGTTTTTAGAATTATACTAAAACCTTGCTAAAAATCTTTTTTTTTTCAGCAAAGTTTTGATCATGTTGATCATTTAGTGGCCCTATAAATTGATTTGCATATTAAACAGAATACAGTACATTCATTTGAGATGCAATGCAAACCAAAAACAATTACCAAACGGATCAAAGATCACTTTAATGTAACATCTACCCCTCTATCCCCCAAAATAGCATGAAATATCTCTGGTTAGAACAAACTGGCTTATTGTGTTGCTCTTAAACCTCATCATAAACGAAATGCGCATAAAAGAGAGAGTTACTAATAAATGAGCCTCTCACTTCTCCCACTGTGGGTTTTTTTTCGCCCCCAAGGTCTGTGCATGCCAGGTGCGGGCCACAGGGAAGATGTACGCCTGCAAAAAGCTGGAGAAGAAACGCATCAAAAAGAGGAAAGGAGAATCCATGGCACTGAACGAGAAGCAGATTCTTGAGAAAGTCAACAGTCGGTTTGTTGTAAGCATCTGTAGTGCTTGTTTTGCCCGTTTAAATGCGTCACATTCTTGCACCTCCTCTTTTTCCACACAAAAAACAACAACATGAAGTTGCTGTAGTTCCAATTTCTGTATCGGGCTGATTAGCTCACAGATGTCCTGCTTTCATGCGAGATCACGTCTGAGTTATCGTTCTGAATCTTGAGATCCGATGTCGAAAAATTGTAGTTTCACTATTTAGTGTTTACATTCAGAATCCTGCATTTTATGAAACGACAGAAACAGGAAAAAAATATTTTTTTGATGCTGATTCTCACCGGTCTTTCAAAACCTTAACGTCTGACCTAACCCCTAGTTTAATGAAATGATAACTTTGTATTTGGGGTTTGTGTATCCAAAGGCCTGACCTCGAGCAAGCTATTTTGAGATGTTTTGTTTGGCTATTATTCTCAGGATTTTTTCGTAATTTCTTCCTACATTTTTAGATACTTTCCCACGCAGGCTGTATCAAACATGGGAATTGTGTTTTGTAAATTAAACGATGTACCTTTCTGTTTTCCCGTGGAGGTGAGTCTGGCGTACGCGTACGAGACGAAAGACGCCCTGTGTTTGGTGCTCACGCTGATGAACGGAGGGGACCTGAAGTTTCATATCTACCACATGGGAGACGCAGGTTTTGATGAGAAGAGAGCCGTGTTTTATGCTGCTGAGATCTGCTGCGGGTTAGAGGACCTCCATCGGGAGAGGATAGTATACAGGTGAAAAGATTCAGACTGAATTTTGGTTTACAAGGGACTGTTTGCAAAAAATCTATATTTTAATTGACGTGCTTTCTTTGTTCGTCTTCTATCAGGGATTTGAAGCCAGAAAATATACTATTGGACGATCATGGTAAGTTGGCTACTGATGTTTTCTTTGCGATTGCTCAGCAAATTCAGCGGATAGTGTTATGATAATTAGTTTGACAATGGTAAAAGAAAACAAATTTCTCGAAGAAAAGGAATGCCACATGGAACGTCACATTCTGAACTGTAGTACTTATGTTTGTCACAAGAGGGAGTACATTGTATAATATTGTTTTTGTGCCTTAAAATGTAACATCCATGTTTATAACATACTGTCAGCTGTATATTTTCTTTTTTATCAAATGAATTTACATGACATGCTGCAGGGGTCCCAAACTTATGGAAAACCTGGAAATATCAGGGAGTCTAAAAAAAAAATTCCATCCCTAAAAAACTTCGAAATATATGGAAATATATTATATACATTATATATATTTTGATTAATCAAGATTAATTGCATCTAGCATAAACGTTTTTGTTTACATAATATACAGTATGTGTGTGTATATATTATTATTATTATTATGTTTATATATATATGTGTGCGTGTGTGTGTATATACATATATACATAAAGATATATGTATAAATATGTATGTGTCTGTGTATATAGTGTGTCTATATATATATATATATACACATACATACTTATATAATCTATATAAATATAATAATATATATATACACACACATATATTATGTAAACAAAACTTTTTCGATTAATCGATTCGACAGCTCTAATGATATAAAATGAGCCAAAACACTATGACCACCTGCCTAATATGCTGTTGGTCCTCCGCGTGCTGATAAAACAGCGCTGCACGCACTCGAGGCACCGACTCTGCAAGAGCCCTGAAGGTGTCCTGTGGTATCTGGCCTTCAAGTCCTCTAGGTTTTGAAGTGGAGCCACCATGGTTCAAACTTGTTTGTCCAGCACATTCAGATCATCAGCTCAATTGAATTGAGATCTGGGGAATTTGGAGAGGGGCAACACCTTGATCATGTTCCTCAAACCATTCCTGAACAATGTGTGCAGTGTTGCAGGTGCTTTATCCTGCTGAAAGAACCACTTCCACCAGGGAACACTACATAGACCCTATGACCAGCTTTTCGGCTCCATACCTAATCGATCTTCAAGCAAAAGGAACTGGATGAATTTTTGAATGCTACGATCCCAATCTGAATTTTGACTTGTGACGTAGCCTGAATCATAATGACACTGTTTTTGTTTGTTGGCCAGAGGAGAACTCTGCCATTTTTTTCTCCATTCTGTCACTCATACACACACTCCAGATCTGATGAACGACCTGCGGCTGGAAACCACTACAATGCAGTCCTGAAGTGTCAACTAGTCTCTCCCCTGTGAAGGCCTCCTTCCCTTCCCTTTACCTCTGTACAGAAAATATTTTTCCGGTTCACATGGCTATGCGGAAGCGATAAATAATTCTGTATTATAAATTTTTAAGGTCAGACAAGTAATTTGTTGAGGTCAATTTGTAAAGAAAGACTACACGCCTGTGCACATATTCAAACGCGCATACCTATAGACTAAACACGTAATATGCATGTGCACGCCGTCAGCATTTTCACAGGTTTGCGTTTTTAAAGCTTGCGCAGAGATAAAAAATATATATACACTGAACAAAATTATAAACGCAACACTTCAGTTTTTGCCCCCATTTTTCATGAGCTGAACTCGAAGATTGAAGACATTTTCAATATACACAAAAGGCCTATTTCTCTCAAATATTGTTCACAAATCTGTCTAAATCTGTGTTAGTGAGCACTTCTCCTTTTGCCGAGATAATCCATCCACCTCACAGGTGTGGCGTATCAAGATACTGATTAGACAGCATGATTATTGCACAGGTGTGCCTTAGGGTGGCCACAATAAAAGGCCACTCTAAAATGTGCAGTTTTACTGTATTGGGGGGGCATGATATTGGCAGGACCTGGAACACGCTGTCGTATACGCCGATCCAGAGCATCCAAAACACATTCATTCATGCTGACTGCAGGAATGTCCACCAGAACTGTTGCCCGTGAATTGAATGTTCATTTCTCTACCATAAGCCGTCTCCAAAGGCGTTTCAGAGAATTTGGCAGTACATCCAACCGGCCTCACAACCGCAGACCACGTGTAACAGGACCTCCACATCCAGCATCTTCACCTCCAAGATCGTCTGAGACCAGCCACCCGGACAGCTGCTGCAACACTCGGTTTGCATAACCAAACAAATTCTGCACAAACTGTCAGAAACCTTCTCAGGGAAGCTCATCTGCATGCTCGTCGTCCTCCGATTTTCACCGTACAGGGCAGATGGCAGACAGCGTGTATGGCATTGTGTGGGCGAGCGGTTTGCTGATGTCAACGTTGTGGATTTGAGTGGCCCATGGTGGCGGTGGGGTTATGGTATGGGCAGGCGTATGTTATGGACAACGAACACAGGTGCATTTTATTGAGGGCATTTTCAATGCACAGAGATACCGTGATGAGATCCTGTTTGAGCCCATTGTTGTGCCATTCATCCACGACCATTACCTCATGTTGCAGCATGATAATGCACAGCCCCATGTGGCAAGGATCTGTACACAATTCCTGGAAGCTGAAAACATCCCAGTTCTTGTATGGCCAGCATACTCAGCGGACATGTCACCCATTGAGCATGTTTGGGATGCTCTGGATCGGCGTATACGACAGCGTGTTCCAGGTCCTGCCAATATCATGCCCCCCCAATACAGTAAAACTGCACATTTTAGAGTGGCCTTTTATTGTGGCCAGCCTAAGGCACACCTGTGCAATAATCATGCTATCTAATCAGTATCTTGATACGCCACACCTGTGAGGTGGATGGATTATCTCGGCAAAGGAGAAGTGCTCACTAACACAGATTTAGACAGATTTGTGAACAATATTTGAGAGAAATAGGCCTTTCGTGTACATAGAAATAGTCTTAAATCTTTGAGTTCAGCTCATGAAAAATGGTGGCAAAAACAAAAGTGTTGCGTTTATAATTTTGTTCAGTGTATATGTTTTCTTCAAGGCTTGCACCTTGGAACCATAGACTGTAAAAAAAGATGGATGACCCCCCTTCGCTCTCTTCCATTGGTGAGAACTGAAGCCGCCAGTGTCCCGATATGGCGCTGACATCTTGGAACTTGAGTCTGCGCAGTAGCGATCTCTGGACTAGACCTGCGCAGTAGTGAGCAGGAAGTAAAGCCGCTAAATCAACGCTCCGCCCTCACTCTCGCAGAATGCACTCTCCCTGCACTTTTTTTAATTGGCCTATGTCTGCTCCGTTCCTCCGTTCTGCTCCAATTTTGATGTCTGTTGATTGCAGTACGACAAGAGGCTTGTTAAAATAAAGTAAATACAATCTCCTCAGTCCTCCGAAGATCCCGAAAAAAAAGTCCGTTGGTGCTTCAGTGATTACTTTGCTCAGAGAACCTGTCAATCACAGCTGTCAATCATGACGTTACACCACCACTTTTATAGCATCACGTAACTGTTTTTAAAATAAGTTTGTTTTTAGTTAGACACTTGAACTTACATCAGCGTGATAAAAACGACAGCAAATGACAGAAACCACCTTTGGAAAAAAGATACTTGAAGTGTAATTTAATTGTTTAGTTGGTCTCACATCCCGTTGAATAACATGGGGAGGCGGGGTTTATTACCTATACTAGGACCAGTCACCGGGGGGGCGATTGAGACGTTTTGGCTTCACTTTTCAGGGCTTGTGCGGCACGCTTGCTTGGAACCTATTTCAAGGTTTGCGTTCTCGAGCCTGCAGGCACTGTTGTTGTGCGAATGAGCGGGCCGGAGCGCGTTAAGGGTTTTCTGTTAGAACGGTGTTGTGCAAGCGGCCCCTAAGTTAATAACTAATGATCTTTGCATCGTAAGTGAATCAATCAAAACTAACTTTAGCTGGTCAATAACTTTATTCTAGAGCTGCTGTAAACCCAAAACAATCTCCGTTACTTTCATTTCCTATTATCACTGTAAAGCTGCTTTGAAACAGTTGATATTGTTAAAATCGCTATATAAATGAAGGTGACTTGACTTGGAGTGTGGGTTACTAGTTACTATTATTGATCTGACTGTACTGATGCTGCTGTAGGAGATCTGAACTGAGCTGGACGATGACATACATTTTTTTGCAGAACAGCTTTATAGATGACATGAACTAATTTTAATAATTGATGCTCTTCAGCTGAACAACAGCCGAAATTGCATAATTTTCCTGTTTTCACTGTAAAGCTATTTTGAAACTATCTGTATTGTATAAAGCGCTATATAAATAAAGGTGACTTGGCACAGACACGGCCGTCCATGTGATGTAAAAGGACTCATTGGACCACCCACCTTCTTCCACTGCTCCAAGGTCCAGTTCTGATGTTCGCGTGCCCTTTCGACGGTGGACAGAGGTCATCATAGACACTCTCATTGGTCTGAGTGCGATGAACTGCGTTGTGACACATTCTTCCCATAACCATTATTAAAAAATTGTCTTTGCCACAGTAGATCCTCTGTTGGCTGGATAGCTTTCGTTGCCCTCATGCATCGATGAGCCTTGGGCGTCCAACACCCTGTCGTCAATTTGTGGTTTGTCCCTCCTGAGACCACTGTTGGTAAAGTCTCACCACTGCTGACCGGGAGCGACCCACAAGCCTTGACGTTTCAGAGATACTCTGACCCAGTCGACCTGCCATAACAATTCGGTCCTTGTCAAAATCGCTCAAATCTTTATTCCTGCCCTTTTCTCCTGCATCCAACACGTTGATTATAAGAACTGATTGTTGGACTACCATCTAATCTACCCAGACATTAATATTTGGCCTTGTTTAGGAGATGATCAATGATATTCACTTCACCTGTGACTGGTCATAATGTGTTGGCTCATCTCACAATATTATTATTTTGAATGTCTTTTTGATCAAATAAATGCAGCTTTGGTGAACATTATGGGTCTTTCAAAAACATAAAAAAAATCGTACCAACCCCAAACTTTTGAACAATAGTGTAAATTGTATATTGTTGTGTACATATAAAAATAATAAATGATTTTGTAATATATAACATAATATAATGCAATATAATATAGCTTTTAAAGTGTTTGTGAGTTTATAATTTGTGAGATCATACTAATACTAAAGTCATTATCAAGTTGTCTCTAGAGATATCCATGGAAAAGTCAATGAAAAATCAGAAGTTAATTGATCAAAATGTGAGAACCCTTACGTTAATTGAAATCCCTCAAATGAAGAGAATTGAAGTATTAAATAGCAAAAAAGAGTTTGCTTTGTTTCCATATAACTTGTAATAAGTTATTAGTATTGAAAAACGATATATTGTAAATGCACTAAGCTTTTGAAGATATCTAGTGTCACAAACCACTTTTAAGCTTGCTTATGAAAGGACTAATATAACAGAGCTGTGATGTTTCTTCTCAGGTCATATACGTATATCAGACCTGGGCCTGGCTGTGCATGTACCAGATGGTCAGACAATCAAAGGCCGGGTGGGAACTGTGGGATACATGGGTATGTCTTTGCCTTTATTAACCTCTAAACAATATCAGCAGCAGAAGCAATCCATGTAACCTGCAGATGTCTGTCTCCCATCAGCCCCTGAGGTGGTGAAGAACGAGCGTTACACATTCAGTCCAGACTGGTGGGCTCTCGGCTGTCTCCTCTACGAGATGATCGAGGGTCAGTCACCCTTTCAGCAGCGCAAGAAAAAAATCAAGCGAGAGGAAGTGGAGCGGCTAGTCAAAGAGGTGGAGGAAGAATATTCCAGCAAGTTCTCAGAGGATGCCAAATCACTCTGTAAAATGGTTAGTGTCCAGTTAAATATGAATTATCCAATCCGGGGATGCCCCGATACCACTCTTTCCAGAATGAGTCCTATATCGATACTGTCAATTTTGCTACTCACCGATACCGATTACCGATACCTGTATTCTCATAGCATTTGTCATTTTTTAAAATATTGGGAAACCAAAAGAATATGAATCATTATGTTCAGTATCAGTATCTGTACTTCCCTAATCCAATCCAATTATTAATTATAATTAATATTATATAAATGTAGTAATCAGAATAATACACTGTGGGAAAAAAAAGTTGCTGCCTTAAATTTTTAAGTACAATCAACTTGAATATTTAAGTAATTTCAACTGACTTTAAAACTGTCTTTAAAATGACTTTAAAAAGTTAAAGCAATGCAAAGCATAATATTATGTTGTCATAACTTAACTTATAACTTGAAATTCTGTCATCATTTACTCACCCTCATGTCATTCCAAACCTGTAAGGCTTGCTTTCTTCTGCGGAACAAAAAAAAGAAGATATTTTGAAGAATGTTGGTAACCAAATAGTTTTAGTTCCGATTGACTTACATTGTACATTTTGTCCATACAGTGGAAGTTAATTGGGAACCGAAATGGTTTGGTTGGTTTTATAACAACCTGAGGGTAAATCTCTTACCCCTTTAAGGAAAGATTACATATAGTTGATACTTGATGATGTTGTAAGAAGCTTAAATGTATATATTTTTTTAATATTTTAATTATTTTATTTTATTTGTTTTGCTAAAATAATAGTCAATGATGTTGATATGGCATTAAAATAAATACATTTTGAACTACTTGACAGTTGTCAGAAAAGTGGACATGTCAATGAAGAAAGATGTACATATATGTTTTATTTTCTTTTTTTTTTTTGGTTTAGCTGCTAGTCAAAGACCCTTGTGAGAGGCTTGGCTGTCAGGGGGGCGGAGCCTCAGAGGTGAAGGCCTACCCTATTTTCCGTTCCATCAACTTCAAGCGGCTTGCAGCAGGCATGCTCGAAGCGCCCTTTACTCCAGATGTAAGTATTTTCTGAGACTGACACTTTTTTTAAACTGTTATTGGCAATATCAGTTATAACAACTATTGTTGTTACTATTACTCTTTCACTGTTTAAATGAATAGGTCACCCAAAACTGAAATTTCCACCATTTTTGTTTTTAAATAATTATCCTCATGTTGTTCCAAATCCATTTCAATTTCTTTTTGGCTTGGAATTCAAAAGGAGACATTTTGAATCATGTACCAGTCACTCTTTTCCTTGCATTTGCCGTGAATGGGAACTGGAGCTTTCAAGCTTCAAAAAGGACACAAAAGCACCATGAAAGTATCATGAAAGTAGTCCATATTAATTTTTTTTTAATTAATATTATTCATACATCGGCTTTGGGGAAAGAAAAGAACACAATTTTAATCACATCAGTGTGTTTTGCGAATGATTTGTTCATAAAATCAGACATGGCTTCTTGAATGAGACAACGTAGCATGATATGTTTCTCTGTTTCAGCCTCAGGCCATCTACTGTAAGGATGTTTTGGACATCGAGCAGTTCTCCACAGTGAAGGGGGTGGAGCTGGAACCCAAAGACGACTCCTTTTACTGCAAAGTATCCACTGGAAGTATTCCCATCCCCTGGCAAAATGAGGTCAGGTCACTACCCAGAATAACCTCAATAATTGTTTTACTCCGAACCCTGATTGCTGCTTTATTTTCTCTTGAGAACAAACAGGACGTGCACTTGATGTTGCCATTATGAAATTGACTTCATGAAATAAATAGGGACGTGTTATTTATATACTATTGGTATTTGTTCATATTTTGAATTAGTTTAAGTTTTAGTTGTACTTTTGTCACTTTTTTTTTTTTTACAAATATTTCTAAATAGTTTTGGTAACAATTGACAATAAGGTTCTATTTGTTGGCATTCATTAACTACATGATCTTAAAGGACTAGTTCACTTAAAAATGAAAATTCTGTCATTCTTCAAAATATCTTCCTTTGTGTTCAAGAAAGAAATTCATACAGGTTTGAAACAACTTGAGGGTGAGTAAATGATGACAGAATTTTCATTTTTAAGTGAACTATTCGTTTAAGGTGCGTTCAGGCCATGTTGTAATGCCCGTAATTACGTAATTTCAATATGTAAAAATCGTTCACGTCCTCATAGAGTTCCTAATTACAACTTGTAAGCTGGGAATTTTCAGAGAGATCCCTCTTGTACCACCTGACCGCTGCAGATTCATTTAGGCTGTAATATGCAGTTAACATGAACTAACAATGATAAATACTTCTAAAGCATTTGTTAATCTTAGCTAATGTTATTTTCAGCATTTATTAATACATAATTAAAATCAAATGTTGTGTCTTTATATTATTTAGTGATAAGAGCTAACATGAACTAAAAATGAACTAACATGTATTGCTTAGTTGATGCATTAATGTTAACTAATGGGACCTTATAGTAAAGTGTTTCCACAGTTTTAATGAATTTTTATTTCCATTTTAGTTTTATTTCACTTTAACTTCACCTTATTTCAGTTAGTTTCCAAGGCATTATTTCAATTTTCATTTTTCATAAGATATTTAATCTTAGTATTATTTATATAATATCATAGTTTTTTTATTAACAGTTTGAATTAGGTGTCATTTTTATATGTTATGTTTTTAGTTTAGTTTATTTCTTGTAATGTTGTTTTGCTTTTGAAAAGATATTTGTTAATTTAATAGTTTTCATTTTATTTCAACATGACAATAACACTGGACAAGATAAAATAATAAAAATGTATTAATAAAAATTTAATTTGACACGTTTTGTACTCAGTTCATGAAACTTAACATCCACTGCTAGAAAAAAAAGTGTAATTAGACGGTTGTCTCAAACCTTTGTAGTTACTGAGAGGTTATTGTCAGTCTCAGAACATCTGATGCATGAGGCAAATGTCACACAAAAAGTCGTCATCCGATTGGTTGAATTCTACATGATTTCCCTGCAGACGTGTGTGTCGCGTTCTTCACCGGTTTGTCTAGAAACCAAAGGCGCCAAACCCCCTCATAGAAGAAGAAAGCCGTCGTATTTACAACTGTGAGAACGAGCGCTTATCATGATCAACTAAACTCTGGATTTCCACAAATATGTGAAGTATGTGTAGTTCACAGCATAGACTCTTTAAAATGCGAAAAAGAGTTTCACACGCCAGTCTGTTACTGTAGGGTCATCGACTTCTGAAGCTCTGGCTACACAAGACTACTGAGATACAGACCTAGTGACAACAAGCCCCAGTTTATATTAGTTTGACTTTAATTCTGTGTGTTGTCATTTCATTGATCCATTCAGATGATCGAGACGGAGTGCTTTAAAGAACTCAACATCTTGAACTTGGATGGCACTGTGCCCCCTGACCTGGACTGGAGAGGTCAACCCTCGCCCCCACCCAAACAGGGCTTACTGCAGAGACTCTTCGGCCGGCAGGTGAGATTTCATCACATTCCTCTATTGTTCAAATGCATTGCTTTTGCTCCAAGACATTATTGTTTGTTCCATTAGTGAATGAGGTTCTCAGCCTAAGTGTATCTGAAACTTTTCGTGTCCTGTATTATGTTTGATAGTGAAATCGTATACGGGTTTGCAGGCGATTCTTGTTATGTAATAAAATATCAGTGTGCAGGTTTTCTTCCCCCTCTCCCTGCTGTATACTGTAATTAGTTAAGTATGAAATGATTCATGTAATATAGACAGATTACAAATGTATAACTTTTTAGAGGCTGTTACCTTTGTTCTCATTTGGCTCTTGTCACTCTTTAATCGATATGCAAACTAAATGTAAAGGCATATTAGCATTTTTTGGCACACAAATTTGTGTTTTACACAATGCTTGTATGCTTGTTGCTGTGAAATTAGAGGTGCACCGATTGCAATGTTCTTGGCCGATTCCGCTTTCCGTTTTTTTTTTGTAAGTGTAACCTGCCGATACTGATTTTTGCCAATTCCGATTTTCTTTCTAAGAACTATAATTGACAACATATACAAACAAAAATGTACTTTTCTTCAATGCAACATTTTATTTTCATAAAAATCCACAAGTAAAAAGTCAGTAATAAAAGAAGAACAAAAGCACAAATTGTAAACAAAAGCACAAATAATTGCAATAGAATAAAGAGAGATATGAAACAAACACTGCTTTAAGGTTTTCAACAGTAGGTTAATTTCTGTAGTATTTCTTACCGAAATAGTAAAGTAATCAAATGTGAAATAACACTGGATAGTCTTCAATGTAAAAATTAAATACAGATTAATACTTACGATTAAAGTTACAAAAGTTATTCAGTCAAGAGCAGAGAGTGATTTTCTTTGTCTTTTGTTCTTTGATTAACATGACAGACAGCAGCAGGAATATTAGACTGCTGTCACTTTAAGAGCTTATGCACGGATCCAACTTGCCTTCTTTCTCAACTATTTACATTCCAAAACTGATTGTGTTTAACTGAATACTCACCAAGACTGGCATTTTGACATAACTGTGTGTGTATTTGACCGTTTAAGTGCAGTAAGCCACTCATTTTGCTACTTGCAACTCGCGAGCTGTTTGAGAGGCGGCTTTATTTGCGCGCCACTAATTTAGATCAGTGGTGCACGCGCTTTTGGTGCGAAACCTGTGGAAATTAGTCAAATTATGCGCAATATAAGCACTATTTAACTGGTGCGAGTGCGTTAGAGGAGGCGGGTGTGTGTCAATTCGGAGAAAAGAGAGCGTGCAGCTGACGTTATTGGCCGAGAAGGCGGAAAATCAGCAGATTTCGGTCACTGGCCGGTCGATCGGTGCATCTCTATGTGAAATGGTAGAAACAATGTGAAATGGGTGGAATTATTTTTCAAAACCATTATTTACTACTTGTTAATGCTAGACTGAGGCAGGTAACATTGAGGAAGGAGCATTTTCATTCTTGAGAGCATTTGATTGGACAAGATTTGTATACACCCCTAAGTGCAAGATGAGTCATGCATTTTGGGGGGCTGTTTTCCAGGAAGAGAATGTCTGCTTTTCAACTTTTATAGCACACAGAATGACCTCCGGGTTAGTTATATCTGATAAGGTTTTTAATGCTGATAAATCCCAGTGTTTGACTGTGCATGTGTGTATGCTGCCCCCGCAGGACTGCTGTGGAAACTGCAGCGACAGTGAGGAGGAGCCTACGCGGCTGTGAAGGCGTGGCCTGCCTAGGGCTCCTCCCCCTACACCACTGAGGATCTCATTTGTTTACAGTTTTTGCACATTTGTATTTTTAAGATAGCTCTATATAAACATTGGAATGTATATTTTCACTATATAGCCATGCAGTGTATCTTATTTAAAGTCATTGAAATGAAAAGGACAGAAAAAAGGGTCCCAATTATTGTCCTTTATCGTGCGTGAAGTATGGAAAGGACAGCTCGTTCAACACTGCTCAAGTCTCAAACCCGGTTGAGCCCAACCGATCTTGTACATTTCGTAGGTATGTCTCGCAGCCTCTTTGCGCTTTTCTTTTCTTTTTTTTTCTGATTTCACACATGTACAGTATGCACTCTGAATATTTGTTTTAGACGTTGGGAGCAAAGGAAATTTGCTTTTGCAGATATTTTTATATTTATATTTTGAATTTTATTTTCTTATGGTAATCTCGACAATCAAATGGCACCATTTGTATAAAACCGTGATAAATGTGCAACAGAGGGAAATTTAAAGATCATAAATTCGCTACCAGAAGTCTCAAACATGTTATCTAAGGTTACTTAGCTAGAGATACCTAGTAAACCAAATAGGCGTGACTAAAGTGCATATACGTACAATGACAACTGCAAACAGTTGTACCATGTTGTAAATACGCGACACTCATCTGTAAAGTCTTCAGCGCGTCTTCCTGCTAATTCTTCTCTGGATAATTAGGAAGAACATCCTGATTATAGTCCATAATGAGTCAAACCACGAGGCATTATTTTCCATTTCGCAACATGACTGGTAATAACATGACATTGTAATTTGTCAAATTCCAGCTCTGAAGACCGAGCGACTTTAATACTCAAAACCATTGCTTAACAGTTCATCATGCTAACAGACATGTTATTTCATGTTTTTATAAGTAGATTTGCGCAATTGTATGGGCTGCATACAATTTTAATTGCTGCTTTTTTACATTTGCCAAAAAGAAATGTTTTGTTCTGTGTTGCGTATCCCCCTGCAATCTCAATAAGCTCTTTGTGTTTTCAGTTGCTTGGAAATATGATGTCTTGGGAACTTTGTTGTAAATGTAATCTCTCGATGCACTTAAGACCAAACAACTTCAATTTTTTGTCCTCCATCTTCATTGAAGGTGCCTTTTTGAAGTTTTAAGGTACTCTTGTCATTAGGGCTGATTATTCAAATATCTCCATTATATTATCGAGTTGGCTTAGCATTTTGTGCGCACACTTTCTCTTTTCTTCGCTGTTGTTCTACATCGAATATTACCGTGCCCTGTGGATGTTCAACCTTTTTCTAAACCTTGTGAATTGTTATTTTGGACATCGTAGAGTCTCGCAAAAGGCTCTGGGACTTTATATTGAAGCCTAGCTGAACGCGTAACATCAGTGACCTGCCAACTCAAGGGTGTGTAAAACATAAGATACTTTGGAGGAAGTCTTCAAAACGCACCGTCAGCGAATGACATGGCGGATCCTTGAAACATTTCTCATCCACCTGCAGTTTACTTTAATTCTCTTGGATAAACTCAAATACATTCCAGTCTCTACTGTACTGTACAGTTGTAAAAATTGATTCAGTTTGTTTTGTTGTTGTTTATTTAGCAATAATGGATTTGATAAGTATAACTATTATGTAAATGTGTATAAAATGACATTTCAAATCTAGAGCGAGACAAAACTTAGTTTGACTCAATGTTTTCCTGAGCCAGGCTTTTAACACTGTGAAGTGATCATTTCTGTCACAGTTGGAATTTGTTGTTTTTTTGTTTTTTGTTTTTTTTGCGAATTTAAAACTGTATGTATGTATGTGTGCCTAAATGCTGTATGTCTGAGTGTATGTGTGTGTGCTTTAACCTGCACTGCATGTGCCCATATTCTTTATCATTCATAACCACTAGTGGATGCCATTTTTTGCCCTAAATGAGTGAAATGTTGCATTTTAGGGAAGCTTTCAGTGTTTTTCTTTTCCAAGAGGAAAGGTGCAGAACTTCAGCCTTACTGATTATAATATTGTCCATTATTAGTAATACCAATCCTGTCAATATCATAGATTTCATGTTTACCTCAAGGCAGAGTGAATCTCAAAATTTCATACACAACAAGACTTAGAAAAGACATGCCGGTGGCTTTGGAGGTCAGTGTCAAAATGGAAACGGCACACTTCCAGCCACATATGTCAGTGTTATTATTAATCAATGCATTTTAGTTGTAAACAATAAACACAGACCCCATTATATGAACTCTGTCATATTAGTGTTTTTCTTGTTGTTTTGAAGAGTATAAACAAGGAAGATTATTCCTACATCTTGTATGCCTCAAAGTGCATTTTAAGCATCGTTTTCATTAGCAAACAACATGCCATCGAGGGCTAGAGACTCAAATTAGACTTTTTAGTAACTGTATAATGTGCTTATTTGAGTAAAGTATAGTATATACAGTAACTGGAGGATTTGGTTATTGTAAGTTTGAAATTCTCTCATTATTGAAATTGTGTCTAGTTTTGCTGATAGTGACTCAATTTTAAAACAGATTTTAACATATCTGTATTATTTTAAAGCGGCACCTTTTCTTTTCTTTTGCCTGATATGTATGTAGAAGTCCATTGCCCTTTCATTTAAAGGGATAGTTCACCCAAAAATTAAACAAATTAATTACTCGCCCTCATGTCGTTCCAAACCCGTAAGACTTGTTCGTTTTTGAAGCACAAATGAAGATATTTTAAATGAATATCTGTCCCTCCATTGACAGTCCAAACAACTACACTTTGACGCTTCAAAAAGTTCATAAAGAGATTGTTACCCATATGAGTGGTTTAGTCCAAATTTTCCAAAGAGACACGATCACAGATTTAATGTAGGCTTTTATTCACATATAGACATTGATCAGTAACCATAAACAGAAGCTCAGTCGTACTTGCTTGATGCGTGAGATCAAACCTCATTGGTTCTTGAGGAAGCTCAAACGTGCTGCGTAACACAAGAATGAACCTCATTGGTTCTTGATGAAGCTCAAACGTGCTGTGTAACACGAGAATGAACCTCATTGGTTCTTGAGGAAGCTCAAACGTGCTGTGTAACACGAGAATGAACCTCATTGGTTCTTGAGGAAGCTCAAACGTGCTGCGTAACACGAGAATGAGCCTCATTGGTTCTTGCACGTCAAGCGAACATGCTTGAGCTTCTGTTTATCACAACTGATGTGTGAGTTGATGAATTTTTTTATGTGAATAAAAGCCTAAATTCAATCTGTCTAGCATATAAAGTTATCGTGTCTCTTCAGAAGATTGGAACAAAACCACTCAATTCATTTGAATTAGTTTTACAATCTCTTTATGAACTTTTTAAAGCATCAAAGTGGTAGTTGGACTGTTAAAGAAGGGACAGAAATTTCTCGGATTTCATTTAATTATCTTAATTTCATTAAATGATGAACGAAAGCCTGACGAGCTTGGAACGACAGGGTGAGTAAATGATAACATCATTAAAATTTTTGGGTGAACTATCCCTTTAAGGCCAGAAGAATGTGTTTGGTTGTCTTGGACCTGTTTATCCCTGTTCTTGACGCCTTATTTTTATGTGATACAAAAAAAAAGGTTCCTGGATTGCACATTGAAAACTATTTTTTTGCTGAACTCAATAGTTAATTCTCACTCAGGTTACTGCCATTGTTATGTATGTTTTTATTTGCTTAATATATACGGCCTTACTGATAAAATAATGTCAAGTTACTGGTTTATATTTGTCCATTTTAAAGTTGCATAAAAGACATGCCATTGGGAATGTTTATAGACTTTTCTGTAAAGTTTGTTTTGATGGTGATATGACGACAGTGAAGGAATTTGTTCTTTCTTGTCAAAGCACTGATGCTCATTCTCTGTTTAGTTTCTGCTGTCTGTCTCTGGCCTGTGAAGCCTGTACATTACGCATGGCCTCTCATGCAGGTCTTCTGTGTAACAAACTGAATTTTGTTTCCTGTTTTCCTTTTTATCTGCATTAGTATTCAACTTCAATAAATTTTTATTTGGTTAAATATTGTGTAGCTCTTAAACTCACTTCATTTTGAATTTATTCTATCTAAAATCTATCAAAATTGACAATTCTGATTTTTTTATGGAGTAGTATTGCAGTATTTGTTATTTGTGCACATCATTATTTTTAAATTTATGTGCCCTCGTTATCTTTAATCAGAATAGCTTCTCCCTTTTGCAGCGGCATCTCTTCTCTGATGATGTGTTTGGCGTGAGGGCGGGACAACCTGTCACTCACATGAGATCGACCAATAGCAAACCACAACCATCCAATCAATTCCCCATGGACAAAATCAAGTCCCGCCCTACATTCTTCTCTTTACCAAGAAGTAGTTTTACTCAGTTCTATGCAGACTTTGAGACCTGAGTGACTGCACCTTTGCAATCAGATTTGCGAAGTTTTATGGGCAAAAATGTCAAACCAATCAGCTTTCTGTGGTCCACAATCCGAATTTGTATAAAGAACATATAGGGAATTATTGCCCTCATGTTTTTTTTGCCTCCTGCAGATTAAAGTCCCGCCCTACATTCTTCTCTTTACCAAGAAGTAGTTTTACTCAGTTCCATGCAGACTTTGAGACCTTATCTGGGCGGCAGAGGCTCAGTGGTTCATGTAGGTTGTCTACAAACCAGAAGGTTGGTGGTTTAACCCCCGGTTCCACCTGACCAAGTGTCGAGGTGTTCATGAGCAAGACACCTAACCCCAGCTGCTCCCGACGAGCTGGATGGCGCCTTGTATGGCTGACACCGCCGTCGGTGTATGAATGAGTGAGTGAATGGGTGAATGTGAGGCAAAATGTAAAGCGCTTTGGTGGCCATTGGGTCTGTGAAAGCGCTATATAAATGCAGTCCATTTACCATTACCATTTATCTGTCTGAGTAAATCAGATTTGCAAAGTTTTGTGGGCCAAATGTCAAACCAATCAGCTTTCTGTGGTCCACACTGCGAATTTGTATAAAGAACCTCACGTTTTGTATATGCCCTCCTCGTTTTTTTGCCTCCTGCAGATTACTGTTGAAAAGTCTGGATTTTGTATGCAAATTTCAAGCAGTAAAGGTAAATGTGACCACACCTCAAATA